GCTCACGAGGACATAGAGCTTAACAAGTACTTTGTGGAGTATCTTATAAGTGAAGAGTATGTAAGACCTTACTTCATGTTTGACAGCATGAATGAGGATGTTATTTCATGGTTAAAGAATATAAGCAATGTTTTCGGTAAGTACGTCATAGATGACAAAGGTCTTGTTGTATTTTATGAGACAGCAATACGAACACAGGAACTAATGGATATTATGCACTCAACAGCAAAGAAAGGATTTAGTACTATTGGCATGAATGAACATTGCAGGAATGACATATACAACCTATGCTCACGAAAGCCTTACACAAAAGCAATACAAATGATAGAACATAAGTGTCTAAGGTCAGCAAATGAAATCATTACTGTCAGTGGTTATGAAAGAACTGTTAGCAAAGATGAGTGGAAACAGCTATTCATATTAAGGAAGGACGTTGCTGAACTAGTTAAACCTGTTGCACAAACATTGTTTCAGATAAGACCAGCAATGACTAAGAACCCTTTGACCTTAGTCAATGAGACCATAGAGGTTGAAGATAATGACATGAAAGAACTAGGAATGAATGAGAGAAGTTGTGAAGGATGTTTGAGTCAAAACACATGGTTCTTCAGAGCTGTTAAGAAACTTAGTAAAGAACGACAGAAATATTTTATAGAGAAGTATTGCAAAGGATGTGTAAATGAATTGCTTGAAATAGAACTTAGAGACACTTTCACACTAAAGGACTTGAGGAAAAATAAGTACATGAGTGAAGAAGGTATTGACATAGCTAGTGTTATAAATGACTTAAGAAGATGTGTTGTGTTATTGACGGAGCACGTATGACATATCTAGTGAAAGATTATGATGGAATACGAGACACAACAACACTTGTGTCAGTAGATAGCAAGGAATTCAATAAGCTCATGAAGAGTATTTATGTAGGACGTATTGAGGAGAAGGATGTGAACGCACTGATGATTTATGAAGCGGGTCAGAACAAGAACTATCTTATGAAGTCAGGCATGAGATTCTTTGACGAAAGAGATGACATTTACAGCTATTTCAGAGGATATGAGTATGAGGTACTGAATGAAGTAGATGAGAACGTTATTGAAGGATATTTGAAACATGTTCACGATGTCATATGTAATGAGGATGAAGAGCTTTATGAGTATGTTTTGAACTGGTTCGCCTACATCGTTCAAAATCCTTGTGGAAAGACTGGAACAGTACTTTTGTTAATAGGAAAGCAAGGAACTGGTAAGAATGTACTTAGTAATGTTCTATGCGAGCTCATTAGCAAGTACGCCAACAATAATATAACGGCAATAGAGAATGTGGTTGGTAGATTCAATGCTGCTATTGAGAACATGAAGCTCATCGTATGCAATGAACTAAGCTCATGCGATACGTCTAAGGTCATGAACCACGACGCACTAAAGTCAATAGTAACAGAGACTCAGTTGGACTTAAATCAGAAGTGTCAGCCAGTAAGAAAGATAGAGAATGTTTGTAATATCATCATGATATCTAACAACTTCAACTCAGTAAAGATTGACAAAGACGACAGAAGATTTGTTGTCATTGACGTAAGCAGCAGATACAAAGGAAATTACGAATATTTCTCAAATCTCATTGAAAGCTTTAATGAAGAGTTTTATTCAAACTTACTGACGTACTTCATGAGAAAGATTTAAGTGAATTTGATGTAAGGAAGATACCATTCACCAGGGCTAAACAAGAACTCATCGAAATGAACAAAACACCTTACCAAATGTTTTACGAGGAGTTCTATGAAAAGTTTGTATCCGGATGGAATTGTACAGAGTGCTACAGAAGATATAAAGAATTTGCGAAGGAGAATGAATTCTTTGCATGTAGTTCAAATGTATTTGGTGGCAAGATGAGAGAATTTGTGAAGAGAAGTAGAAAGCGAGACGGTTCTGCAAGAAGTTATATTTACGAAGCAAGTATGATATTAGAAGGTCGTGGAAAGAAAGAAACAGTGAATTATGAGGAAGTGCTTGAAAAATTCATGGAGTACATGGGAAGCAATATAACATACAACAAAGACATATACAGTGAGTTTAAGTACTACTGTGAACAGCATGAGATTGAAGTAATGAGTAAAGGAGACTTTGAAACGCTTATGAAAGACAGTAAGGAGGTCATACATGCAATAATGAAATAGTTCATGAGAACAGTGAGGAGGTCATACATGAGAACAGTGAGGAGGTCAACATGAGAACAGTGATGAAATAGTTCATGAGAACAGTGAGGAGGTCATACATGAGAACAGTGATGAAATAGTTCATGAGAACAATGATGAAATAGTTCATGAGAACAGTGAGGAGGTCGTTCATGAGAACAGTGAAATAGTTCATGAGAACAGTGAGGAGGTCGTTCATGAGAACAATGATGAAATAGTTCATGAGAACAGTGAGGAGGTCGTTCATGAGAACAATGATGAAATAGTTCATGAGAACAGTGAGGAGGTCATACATGAGAACAGTGTTGAAATAGTTCATGAGAACAGTGAGGAGGTCGTTCATGAGAACAGTGTTGAAATAGTTCATGAGAACAGTAAGGAGGTCATACATGAGAACAGTGTTGAAATAGTTCATGAGAACAGTGAGGAGGTCGTTCATGAGAACAGTGTTGAAATAGTTCACGATGTCGTTCGTGAAGAAGCCATTGCAACAAAGAATGAGATAAAGGATTTCATAGAACTTAACAAGGAGGAGTTTAAAGAAGGCTATGAAGTGAAAAGATGTGAAGAAGATTTCTTGGCGTATTTGAAGAAAAAGAGACTAAAGCCAATGGCTCAAAATAAGTTTCAATCGATGTTTGAAAAGAAACGTTTGAGCTATGGTTGTAAGAAGCACATATTACTTTGTTAAGAAGTGAGGACATTTATTTTTGTCGTTAGTGTTGGAGTTTGTGTTTGTTGTTAGTGTTTGTCATTTGTGCTGAGGTTAGTACTTGATGTTAGTGTTGGAGTTTGTGTTTGTTGTTAGCGTTTGTCATTTGTGCTGAGGTTAGTACTTGTCGTTAGTGTTGGAGTTTGTGTTTGTTGTTAGTGTTTGTCATTTGTGCTGAGGTTAGTACTTGATGTTAGTGTTGGAGTTTGTGTTTGTTGTTAGTGAGAGAATAAATTAAATCATGAACTTTGCCATGGTCTCTGTCCCTAGTAGTTTTCATTAAGTTCCGGAAATAATGAAAATCATAAACTTTGCCATGGTCTCTGTCCCTAGTTTTCATTATCTCACAGAGTTAATGAAAGTCATACTTTCTATCAGATGAAGCATGCAGATGAACATAATGAAAGTTAGTGAGTTTGCCACGAGTTATGAATAAAATATTGGCATATTAGATGAGATAGCTGATGAAACAGATGAAGATAAATTAAATCTTGGACTTTGCCACACTCTGTCCCTAGTTCCTCAAAATCCTTGACAACGTTGCTTAGAAATTTTGGTTCAAAACCTCATCTGATTTTAATCTGTTATGCTACCTGTTAAGTTTCGCGAGATTATAAATGTCATGGAGTTATATAAAAAGGAGGGACAGCTAGGGACACTGGAAGTACTTGTAAGGCTATCTGTTAAGATTGCATGAAATACTAAAAAGTCATGAAATCCATTATCGCTGTGCTAGCTTCACCTTAGAGTAAAATGACGACTAAAGTCACTGAAGCAATGAAACAAAAGTTTTTGGTAGAATACATTAAATCAGGAACTATTCCAGAAGGTTTTTACATTCATACTATGAAGGATGGTAGAGTTCAGTTTAGAAAGATAAAGCAACCATTAGATAAAGAAGGAATTTTGAGAAAGATTAAACTTCATGAGGACAACATTGCTGAACTTAAGAAGAAGTTAGAAGAGTTGGAGAAACCAAGGAAGAGAGTTATAAAGCAATGAATTCAACAGGGTAGAAATGAGGTGAAAAAAGAGGTTAGATCTCACCACTTCACCTAAATTTATTTTTGTGCTATGTTTTCATACGTGTGAGGGTGGTGAGATCATTTATTTTTATTTTATTTTTTAAAATTATTTTTATTTTATTTGGATGTAATGACAGAACAAAAGCAACTCATACAAATCAAAACATATAACAAACATACATTTAAACATTTATTCTTCCTTCCTGAGCATAACATGTTCTTTCAAATACATCCGAGACCAGTTGACTTTTCATTGACTGTTTATAAAGATAGAAATAGTTATATCATTAAACCATACGATGACGAAGGTAAGTTATGTAAATTGTACGTTAAGAAGTTAGAGAAAGTTTATGGCTTCAAGTATGACTACAATAGGGTTAACACTGATGATGAAGATATTGAGGAAAATTTATGAGAACATTAGTGAAGTTGTTAGTGAGAACGATAGTGAGGTGAAATTGTTGGCGGCTTTGTAAATATTTAAGGTTAAGTTAGTTTTTGCGTTCATGTTGTAAAATATACGTTAACGGTTTTGTAAAGTGTCAAATTCACAAGTATTGGGTAAGGTGGAACGCAGTGCCACCATACCCAAGACTTGTATACTAACTGTTATACCATTCTGAGCAAATAAGAACTTGTCATGTATAGGTTTTATCTGAGCATTTTCTAACTTCCTCTTGTTCTTATTTAAAACATTCTCAAATTTTTTGTCAATGTCAGCAAACTTTTTTTCTAACATATTTTTAGAAAAATTAAAATTTTTATCTTTTAAAAAATGTCTAGCGATTTCGCTATCTATGTCCGTGACAAACTTTTCGACTCTAAAACTTCTGTCGACCATAAAATCTTACATTGTGTCAACAAGAAAGGTGAATTTGTTCTAAAGTTCTGTTTCTGGGAATATGACAAGAACCATAAAACATTACAAAGAGCAGTCTTAAAATTTGTCAATGACAGACTTGTTGACAGAGATGACGCCGATTGGAAAGATGAAGTCCAACAAAAGTTCTTAGAATGCAAAGAAGACACATGCGCTGTTCTTGAAGATGAAATAGAAAACAGAATAGATGAGCTATTAAAGGACAAAGAACTTTTACATAAATATGGTTCTGAGAAATTTGACGTCTCACCACCAGAAAAGAAGAAGAAAGAAAAGAAAGAGAAAAAAGAAGAAGAGAAGAAAGAACCTGAACCAGTTCCAGAGAAAAAGAAATTTGACATGTAAAAATAAAATTTTATTTTTTAGAACATTTCTGGGTCAATGTCAATGTTCTCTTCCTCTTTAGGAGTAAACACTGGCTTAGACTCTAAAATCTTTTTACCCAATTTACCTTGAACTTCTACAACTTTAGACTCATAATATTCATAGTCGTCTGTCTTCTTTGGTTCATAAGGTATAACAAGTTTGTATGCTTTGCCTTCTTTAAGGTTTGAGAACCTTCTGTCAAAACTTTCTTTTACTGTTAACAAACCTTCTATGTCTAAGTCTTCAAATTTCGCACCATTTTTAGTCACAATAGCAAACTTAACTGGTTCGATGTTCCAAACTTTGCTGAATGAAGACTTTTCAAAATGGTAGAAGTAAACATTCAAATATGTGAATGGGTCTAGTTCTTCTTTAAGTCCTGACATGTACTTGTTTACTGAGATGAATTTTGCCATCTTTTCTATCGGATAAAAAAATATTTTTTTAAAATTTACTCAGAAAAATTTTTCTTTGTATATACACCATTCTGTACGTCTAAAAGACATTTGACATTTGCCAAGACTGTACGTTTAGAAGCTTCCATATAACCATATTCTTGACAATATTGTTTATATTCATCATATAAAGACTTTTCATCTAATGACACAAAGTCAGTTTCATCTATGAACAGTTCATATACACTCTTGTTTGCTTCTAACAATGTTTGTCTCTCTTCGGTATGTGGAATTTGTCTTGGATTGAACTTAGAAATATCTAATGTCATGAAATATGAGAACAAGTGGTTGTAAAAGTCAGATGTCAAAGTTTCTGCTAAGTCGTCAAAATATTCTGTATCTTGCATATGAGAATCTGACGTTCTGACAACTACATATCTTCTGTCAGAACTTTCTAACTTCATCGGAACAGCATTGTTTGAAACCATAATGAAGTTTGCAACATTTTCACAAACTCTTTGGTCTTTATACTTTCTTTCAACAACTCCAACTTTGTCTGTTATAAGACTCTTCAAAGCATCTGAGTTCAAAACTTTTGTTGTATCTATACTTTGAAGTTCATTGCAAACTATAAGTTTCATATTCTCTATTGAGGAGTTAAACTTGCCACAGATGTTTTCTAAGTTTGTCATATTAGGGTTCGAATAACCTTCTAACAGTTTGCATAAGATATCTGTAAAGAATGTGTTCTTACCTGTTCCTTGTTTTCCAATTATAATGAGAGCAGTTTCATTTTTAGCACTTGGATGTTGTAAGATGTTTGCAAACCAACATAAGATATACTCATAAACCTTTTCGTTTCCATTGCATATAATTTCTTTGACATGGTCTAACCAAGCTTCTATAATATTTTCTTTCCATTCTACTTGTTCGTATTTATATCCAGTGAAGATAGAATAGAAGTTTGGAGAAGGTGTATAGAACTTTATACCTCGAACTGAAAAATCTTCTAACTTTGACAATAAGATATCCCAAGCATCTAACATCTTCATGCCAACTTGTACGACTTTTATTTTCTTAAGTTTCTGTTTACATTCTTGTTCTGAAACTATTGTCGCTTTAGGTTTGTTAAAGACTACATCCCATTCTTTCATGACATAACATTCTGGGGCAGAGTCGACATAAATGACTAAACGTTTCAAATTCTCGACTGCTTTGTTATAGTCTCTAAATGGACACATATTTCTGAATGCTTGGAAGTCATAAAAATCTGAAACATCTATTCTGTACATTTTTATAAAAATAAAAAAAATATTATTTTTTTATTCTTGACTTTGTTGTTCCATTTGTTGCATTTGTTGTTCTTGAGCTATTTGTTGTTGAAGTTGTTCTTGTAATACAATACTTTCACCGGTTGCATCTTCCAATTCGAAACTTTCTGCCGTCATTGACAAATACATAGGACATAAAAGTTTTACAGGAACAAAGTTTGCGTCAACTAATGTCAACGTTATACTTGCCAAAGTGTTTGAGTTCACTAAAGCTGAAAACTCTGCATTCGAATGAACAATAGGCAAACCAGCAGAGAAAGTGTTGTTTATACGCATGAGTATCTTTTGGTCATAATAGTTTCTGTCGACATTCGAATAACACTTTGAACCTAAGTTTGAAACGATATATAAGATTGGTGTGCTTAATGTCAATGGAATAGACATTCCTTGTATGACACCTTTTCCTGTTATAGGAAACTGTTGGTAGTAAAAACCAGAAATAAGTTTTGTATTATAGCTCATATCGTTTATAGTAAACTCAGTCGGACATCCAAACATAATGAAACCTGCTCTAGTTGCAGCACATGTTACACCCGTACTTAAAGTATTAAATAAGTCAACAAAACCTGTTGGTGGTATATCTGAGTAAGTATCTTCAAAGGAGTATTTTTTACCATTCACAACAATAAAGTCTTCTGGTGTCAAAAGAGCAAAACAGGCTTTAGTCGTCATTGTGTTTAAGGTTAGTTTACAATATCATCCTTGAGGACTTTGTAAGTTTGTTGTTATAGAATTATATGACTCAGGTTTTTTAAGTCGTAATAGTATAAACCATTATGTCTTCTGCCATTTACTTAGCAAATAAATTTTAATAAATGTTGTGGTCGTCAAATATTTTTATAACGTCTGGGAACTATATTTTAAGTTCAACGTTTCACCTCCTTTCATAACGTATATCTTGCCAATGACATTATATGAAACACCACAGCAACCAATGTCGGGTTCTATTTCTTTGATGTTTATATCGTCTGCTCTGTCAAAAGTTTCAATAGTTCTTTCAAAACTTCATGGTGCAATAACATATGAGTTCACTTTTACAGGGTTGTGTTCGACCAAGTTTAACATTATACTTAAAGCTTGACAAATCTTCTCCTGAGTTGAAGTTTGTCTTTCAGTTGTTGGTAGTCGTTTCGAATATCTGCAACAGAACTTAAGTCTCTGTTAACTTCAGGATATGTTGGTTCTTTTACAGGAACAATTGTTATACCATCTTCGTCTTCGTATGGTTTCCCACTTCAACATCTCTGTCTTTGACATTGACAACAACACTTTGACTGTTTGTTTGAGTTGGTGAATTTAACTTCACAATCTGCCATCGCCATTAAACCTTTTGAAAACACTTACGCTTCTATTTTTCGGAATGACATTTTACTTAGAATAAAAAGATGGACGTATTTGAGTATCTCTTCGAATTGAAGCAAAACAAAGTTTACACACACAAACAATACAAGTTCATTGATAGAATAGTTCTTTTATACAAACAATGGAAAATGTTATAGAATAGCAGTCTTTGCTGAACCAAAATATTTTCATAAAGCAAAGAAAGTTGGTATAACTGAAATGGTGAAAGTTCTTGAAGCAGACAAATATTAACTTCAAAACTTACAGATATTACTAAAGGAAAGTTTATAATACAATATTATGTCAAAACTGGCGTACTGTCAATATTTGACGGAGAGAAGTCAGTTCAAGAACAACTTACTGACCTGCTGCCAAAATCTGCTCGATGGAAGCTGTCGTTATGCCCAATCTGAGAGCCCAGCAGGTTTCAATCGAACGAATCTTCAAAAGAGCATCTTCCGTGAAAAGTGCTATTGGTTTTGTAAACTTCTTTGCTTTCAATTCATTTGGACCGTCTCTGTCACCAGTATATTGTATTTGAACTGTACCAACAGTTGAAATACCACCCATAAAGTCTTCTGAGTCAGCAAATGGAATGCCAAGCCAAAAGTTTGAACGGTCTCCATTTGTATATTGAGTTTTTTGACCTCCTGTATGAGTCCATACTTTCACATATGGCATAATAGAACTTTGCATTTCAGGGTAATGGTTGTTGTGAAGTTGTTGTTAAAGTTCATAGCATCTAATGTCAAGTTGTATGACCTCATATCCTCAACTGTAGAATATTCTTCTCTTGGATAATATTTGCCATCTAATGTTTATATGATATTTAATACCAGGGTTGTAGAAACAAGAATAGTCATTTAAGTTCGTCTGAACAGTACAAACATAGTATCTGCATGTTTCATTGCAGTTGTTAAAGCAATATCTTTCTTGCACCTTCGGCTCCTGGATTTTGGTTTCCAATTCACCTGCAAAGTCTTTGACAGATATTTGGTGTATAGGGAACTAAGTGGAACTGCAATATATTTGGCAGCTAAAGCATTTGAAATATCTGGGTCCAACATATAGACTGCAAGTCTGCTTTCTATTCTCTTGCATTCAAACTGTTTCGCATGTGAACTTAACTGGGTCCCAAGCAGTTCCAGCAGCATTGAAATAATAGTTTACTTCATTGTTGAAGTTTGAGAAACCAAAGTCTAAGTCAACTTTGTCTTTTGCAAAATTCGGCGAATGACGTTTGATTTGTTCCCTTTACGTCTGTAATAGTGAATGGGTCTTGTGTTGGTGCAATGACTAAGTTATTTTTGCTTGGAGTAAGTTCGATAGAAATTTTTCCTGCCCAGTTTGGCAAGTATCTTAAAAACCTGAAGATGAGGAAAGATGACAAAGGAACTCTAAGTTTCAGTTTTACTTTGGTACTGCTGCTGCAGTTTTGTCCAGAAAGGTCAACATAAACTCCTGGAACGTTAGGTCAAGTCTTCTTATTTTTTCAATATTTGCATACTGGTCTGTTTGTTCTCTAGCTTGTGGTTGTACTGAGTTTCTCAAAGCGAACCATTCATAGTTTGCCCATGTTACTGTTTGAACTAAGTCAGAGTTAGAATATTATCTTATATCCCATGAAAACTTCTGGAGCATATTGGTATCCGACATAGAAAATTCCATTGCAACCTTTCTTGTCAGACAACTTGGCAGAAGGTTTTATTTCAATGTCTTGTTCCACGTATAAGAATGAGTTGTCAATAGAAATAATATGAAACCTGTCGCAAGCAATATCTACTGTTGTTGAAGAACCTTCTCCAAACTCACCTACGTTTCCATAAGAAACAGCAGTTGTATATTCGTAAGTTCCAGGAACTATTTCTGACCTTCTAATGGCATTGTCGCATTCGTTATACCATTCGGAAACATTTCCGTTCATGGCATCCAAACTGTTGGCGTTATATTCTGAGCGGCGTACATTTCATATGGGTAAAAATATAGAATAGTTGGATTTATATGTCATAATAAACCCACTCGGACCAAGCTTTACTTTCTTCCTGGCTGAGTTTTAACTCTTCTTTTTCCTTCATTGCCACTACTTTCACTAGATGAAGTTACTTCTTCACTACTTTCACTTTGTTCTACTCTTCTCTTCTTCTTTGGTGTCGCTTTTGGTAACTTGCCCTCTGCTTCAAGTTGTAGCATCTTTGCCTCATGTTCACCTAGTATGTTGTAAATTTCCCATGTCCTTTTTGCCTTTGGGCTCTGGTCGCCCATCTCAGGTAACCTATATCCTAGAAAGATTTTGTCATAGTTTGTATTTGAGTCTTCGCTATTGTTTGCATGACTCTTTCCTGAGTTTCCGGTTCAAGCTCTTCAAACAGAGCTTGTCCATATGGAATAAGCTCGTTTCCAAATATATGTTTTTGTAGCCATTCTGGTTTTCTTTCCATGTACCAATAATATCTTTTGTGAATGGGAAAGCTTTTACCCAACGTTTCAGGCTTGCGTCATTTATTTCTGTAGTTGGTTTTATTTTGTCAAGGAACGTGTTTTTCAATACTAACATTTCATTTGGTACTGTCCATTTGAGTTTTCTTAAATATTCATCCCTTCTCGTTCATTGTCTGCAAAGTAAGTTTTTATGACATTTTGCAAACTTTCGTTTGCAAGGTCATGTACAATAGGTTCTCTTCCTTCTCTCTCCCTAACTTTCTTTCTAAACTCTTCACCAAATATACCATCTCTATGGTTCTGTGTAGTTCTTTGAGATAAATGTTCTAGAACGTCAGGTGTTATATTTCCCTCAGCCATGTTCATTTCATACTGGTCCAAAATATCTGCATATTTCATATCTTTCAATGGCATTAAAGCCGCGCTGAAAATACCAGCTATATCTGGTTCACCATTCACTTCCATTGCGTCTACAACTTCTTGGAATTGAGGTTGTAAGTTTATGAACCACCTATCCGGATTAGCTTTATGACCCCATTTCATTGTAGTTCCATAGTCTGCAGAAACAAAAGTAGGTTTGTTTCCATATTGGTTAGGTTCTGAATGAACTTTAAACAATGTTTCATTTCTATATGTTTTGTTGAAATTTAACCTTTTATTTTCACCGAGTTCAGCCAAGATTGAACGTTATATGGTCGTAAGTAAAAAGGATTATTGTATTTGCGTACATTTTCTTTCAGTACTTCCATTCTATGCTGAATATTTTCATCTGATGTTGGAGTCTTTTGTATGTCGGTGAACATTTTTCGATATTCTTCTACTATGTCAGCCGAATTTTTCTTAGACTCTTGGAAAGATTCCATATTCACCTCATACTCTTGTTGAGGGTCAAGATTTTTCGGCTGTTCCAAATCTTCATCTAGTTCTGTGAAGTTAGTTTCCAAAGGAGGGATTTGTTCGTTTCCTTCAGGCTCTTCTAGCTGTTGTTGCTGAACTATTTCTTCCATGTCTGGTTGTATCTGAACTTCTTCCTGTTGAGTTTCTTGTACCTCATCTGCTGGCATTTCATATATTCCGAGAACATTTTTAACAAGTTCCCTATCTAAGTCATCCGGACTCATAAACCTTTCTTCTTTCGTTCCGTCTCTATTTTTTACGCGTTTCATGAAGAGAGTTGAATTATCATTTAGCTCTGACATCAAATATCTCGGAGTAAATTCATTCATGTCATTTGGATGATATGCTATTAAATCATATCCCTTAGCGAGCTTGTATTTTCCAGGTTTGAGATTATATCCGATTTGATGCTGAGCCATAAAGCTAAATAGGTTCGGGTCAGTATTTCCTTCCTTGAACTTTCTAATAGCTTCTTTATATCTGTCACTAAAGTCAAGAGTATCTGGGTAACCATAATCTTCCTTAAGCATTTTTAAGAATTCTTGGTTTCCTTTTTCTCTACTTCTTTTATGTCCTTGCTCTGTTTGTGGTTGTTGTTGTGCAGGGTTTTGAACTGTTGGTTGCTGTGCTGGTTGTGGAGGTGGTTGTTGTGCTGGTTTTGGTTGTGGTGCTGGATTTTGAACTGTTGGTTGCTGTGCAGGGTTTTGAACTGTTGGTTTTGGTTGTTGTTGTGGTGCTGGATTTTGAACTGTTGGTTTTGGTTGTTGTTTTGGTGCATGCCTGTGTCTGTGTCCATGTGACGATGTAAATGTTTTAGGTAGTCCTGGTGCAGGTGCTTCTCTTGGAGGGTTTGGTGGTATATAAGTTCCACCAGCTGGCACATATGTTCCATCTGCAGCATAATGTCCTACCTGACTTTTCGTTTTTAAGAAAGCATTTACTAGGTCTGTTTTGGTCTGTTGTAACTCTTTTTCTTGACTTTCCACAACAGCTGCTCTAACGGCGTCATAGGCACTTTGAACCGCCTGTCTCGTTGCTGCATCTGTTATTTTCGTCATATTTTGTGCTACTTCTCTTAACTCTTTGTCGAAACCTTCAGACTTCAGTTTCTTTCCAGATGAGAAGTCGTTCACTAGTTTCACCTTACTATGAAGAGCTTCGAATGCATTCTTAAAGTCAGCATTCATTAAAGCTTCATTTGAACTGTCTTCATCCGCTTGTATTTTTGTCCTTATTGACCCTATAAGTTGGGCTGCTTTAGCGTTGGCTTGGGCATCTAACCAGTCATTGTTAGCTTTTATATATTCTGCGCTTTTCATTGCCTTTTGCATGGCTGCGTCGTTATTTTTACTTTCTTGTGCTAAGTTTTCATACTGTACGGTTTGGTTTTGCAACTGTAAAAGTTTTTCTGCCTTTACATTTGCTTCAACTTCTTTTTTATACTCATCGCTATCCATATATGTCTTCAGGGCTTTTTGTTTTATTTCTTCATCTTTCAGTACTTTATATTGAGTAGTATGGTTTTTCAAATTTATAACATCTTGTTCCATTTTTGCTACTTCTGCTGCTTTTTCTGACACTTTTTTCGCATATTCCTCTGTACTTAGTTCTTTCAGTTGTTCTTCTTTCTTCTTTTTCTCTACGTTTAACTCATTGAGTTTCTTTGTGTGTCTGTCATATTCTAGTTTCTTTTCGTTTTCGCTTATTTGTTTCTGTATGTCTATGTTTGACTTTTTGACATCTGTTATTTGATTTTTGAGTGAACTCAAATTCATTTGACTTTGAGGGTTATAAGCTGTTCCGTCTGCAGCTCCACCATAGCCTGCCATTTTCGCTAAAAGTGCCGCTCTTAAACCTCCACTCTGTGCACCAATAACTCGGTTTAAAAGCATAGGGTTGCTTGACATTTGTTGCAACATAGTGGGGTCATTCATCATTTGTTGTTGCAACTGTTGTTGTGGTGTCAGTTTTACTATTGGATGTTTCAATGCTCCCTTCCTCTTACGTATATTCTTACGTAGCTTACGTGGCATTTTAAGTGAAGTTAAAAAGCGGTTTTTGACAGATGTTTATATGACACTTTTTGTTCAGCACAAAAAACTACTCGGTCAAAGTGTTGTCAGTTTTGTAAAATAACCGTCTTATCTCATTCTATAAGGGGGAAGGCTTCTCAAAGTATACTTCCTTGGAACGCCTGTAACTTTTCCTGTAGCGACGATAGACCCTTACTTGTCCGGACAAAGTTATACTATTTTGAGTGCTCTACAAAAAAGTCAACGGCGACGACTCTCAAAAACCGTTGTGTAAAAAGTTTTACCGTTGGACAAAAAAGTATATATAGAAAACAAAAAACGTTTATAGTTCATTCAATATTTGAGATAAACCGTTTTTCCAACGGTAACTATTAAATAAAATAAAAAATAGAGGGGGTCTCCGTTGACGAAAACGGTTTATCTCAAACTTTTCTATGAGTGGTCCAAAAAAAACAGTTCATTTTTCATAATGGAAGCCAACGCTGTTAACCACAATTCAAACATTAACAATTCTCAACCGCTAACCAAAGCCAAAGCCCCACAACCTCCAAGAACCGGCACAGCGGTTAGAATAACCACCAAAAAGTCTAACAGCGAATTAAGAGAAATTCTTCAACAAATTTGCTCTAAATATCTCAAAGACGCCGAAGAAAACACAACAACAGACGCTACATACAATACTCAGTTCTGTGAAGTTCTGAACAAAGCAATTACTAGTTCAATTGAACTTACTAAGACAATTCCAAGTCCAATTGAGCTTAGCGATGTCTTAGTTCAGTATTTTCCAACATTTACTAAGCTTATAATGTTGAGAACTTTATACCAAGTTCGTCAAAATCTTCCTCGTTACATCCAACGGTCATTCGACAAGAGAATTGCCGAATTCCAAGTCTTTAGTTACGGATATGACGAAGATGAATACGTTGACGAGTTCGGAGACAACTGTACAAAATGGTTTGAATGTTATACGACAACGCAATTTGAATTCGACTTTCTCGAATTCAACGCAGCAACCATTCATATCATTGCTCTTTACCTTTCCGAACAACAACAAGACCTCGCAGATGGAGATGTTGTTACTGTCGTCATGAAAACTCCTGAACAATTCGGAAAAAAGAAGTCTCTAATTGCCAAATTCGTTCCAGGACATCAGCTTTTCCAACGCACAGAAGTCTTCTGTATTCCTGGAACTAAGTTCTTTGTCAGGAGCGAACTCAAAGAAAGATATAATGTGTCATTCAATTACACATTATATAATGTTTTCGACCCAGAAGAAGGCTTCTTCCCAGAAGCAATGGAGGAGAAAGAAGAGGAGGAGGAAATACAAGACTCTATCCAAGAAGAGTCCTCCGAATTCACACCAGAAGACTAACAATTTTCCGAATAAAAACTTCATTTATACTAAACATCTTCGGGGCTATAGGGCGCAACGCGCCTGGAAGCCCCACTTACCTGACCTGATTGAAGAAGAAGAATTGTTTTTCTCTTAATAAGGGTTTCGTTTTGCTAAAATTGTCACTTTTATAGCATATTTGTTTTTGGATGTTTTGCGAAACCAAAAAAAACTATGATATACAATGTGTGTGTAAAGAAAATACTTTATTTACTAGTTAAAAAATCATTTGGTATTGATCAAGTTATTTTTTCTGGATAAGATATTATATGGATAATTGAATAGAAAATACAATTATATAATCTTGTACCTGGTTTAATTAAGCTAATTGTCATCAGAAACTTGTAATTTTTATGAATTTCAGATTTTCTTTTCATTACTGCTTTTCTTAATAGGTCAAGTTCTTATTTACGTTATAAAGTATGATATTTACAAATATCAAGTTAGTTAGTATACAAGTCTTGGGTATGGTGGCACTGCGTTCCACCTTACCCAATACTTGTGAATTTGACACTTTACAAAACCGTTAACGTATATTTTACAACATGAACGCAAAAACTAACTTAACCTTAAATATTTACAAAGCCGCCAACAATTTCACCTCACTATCGTTCTCACTAACAACTTCACTAATGTTCTCATAAATTTTCCTCAATATCTTCATCATCAGTGTTAACCCTATTGTAGTCATACTTGAAGCCATAAACTTTCTCTAACTTCTTAACGTACAATTTACATAACTTACCTTCGTCATCGTATGGTTTAATGATATAACTATTTCTATCTTTATAAACAGTCAATGAAAAGTCAACTGGTCTCGGATGTATTTGAAAGAACATGTTATGCTCAGGAAGGAAGAATAAATGTTTAAATGTATGTTTGTTATATGTTTTGATTTGTATGAGTTGCTTTTGTTCTGTCATTACATCCAAATAAAATAAAAATAATTTTAAAAAATAAAATAAAAAATAAATGATCTCACCACCCTCACACGTATGAAAACATAGCACAAAAATAAATTTAGGTGAAGTGGTGAGATCTAACCTCTTTTTTCACCTCATTTCTACCCTGTTGAATTCATTGCTTTATAACTCTCTTCCTTGGTTTCTCCAACTCTTCTAACTTCTTCTTAAGTTCAGCAATGTTGTCCTCATGAAGTTTAATCTTTCTCAAAATTCCTTCTTTATCTAATGGTTGCTTTATCTTTCTAAACTGAACTCTACCATCCTTCATAGTATGAATGTAAAAACCTTCTGGAATAGTTCCTGATTTAATGTATTCTACCAAAAACTTTTGTTTCATTGCTTCAGTGACTTTAGTCGTCATTTTACTCTAAGGTGAAGCTAGCACAGCGATAATGGATTTCATGACTTTTTAGTATTTCATGCAATCTTAACAGATAGCCTTACAAGTACTTCCAGTGTCCCTAGCTGTCCCTCCTTTTTATATAACTCCATGACATTTATAATCTCGCGAAACTTAACAGGTAGCATAACAGATTAAAATCAGATGAGGTTTTGAACCAAAATTTCTAAGCAACGTTGTCAAGGATTTTGAGGAACTAGGGACAGAGTGTGGCAAAGTCCAAGATTTAATTTATCTTCATCTGTTTCATCAGCTATCACATCTAATATGCCAATATTTTATTCATAACTCGTGGCAAACTCACTAACTTTCATTATGTTCATCTGCATGCTTCATCTGATAGAAAGTATGACTTTCATTAACTCTGTGAGATAATGAAAACTACTAGGGACAGAGACCATGGCAAAGTTTATGACTTTCATTATTTCCAGAACTTAATGAAAACTACTAGGGACAGAGACCATGGCAAAGTTCATGACTTTCATTATTTCCAGAACTTAATGAAACTACTAGGGACAGAGACCATGGCAAAGTTCATGATTTAATTTATTCTCTCACTAACAACAAACACAAACTCCAACACTAACGACAAAAATAAATGTCCTCACTTCTTAACAAAGTAATATGTGCTTCTTACACCACCATAGCTCAAACGTTTCTTTTCAAACATCGATTGAAACTTATTTTGAGCCATTGGCTTTAGTCTCTTTTTCTTCAAATACGCCAAGAAATCTTCTTCACATCTTTTCACTTCATAGCCTTCTTTAAACTCCTCCTTGTTAAGTTCTATGAAATCCTTTATCTCATTCTTTGTTGCAATGGCTTCTTCACGAACGACATCATGAACTATTTCATCATTGCATTCATGTATGACCTCCTCACTGTTCTCATGAACTATTTCATCATTGCATTCATGTATGACCTCCTCACTGTTCTCATGAACTATTTCATCATTGCATTCATGTATGACCTCCTCACTGTTCTCATGAACTATTTCAACACTGTTCTCATGTATGACCTCCTCACTGTTTCTCGAACTATTTCATCATTGTTCTCATGTATGACCTCCTCACTGTTCTCATGAACTATTTCATCACTGTTCTCATGAACGACCTCCTTACTGTCTTTCATAAGCGTTTCAAAGTCTCCTTTACTCATTACTTCAATCTCATGCTGTTCACAGTAGTACTTAAACTCACTGTATATGTCTTTGTTGTATGTTATATTGCTTCCCATGTACTCCATGAATTTTTCAAGCACTTCCTCATAATTCACTGTTTCTTTCTTTCCACGACCTTCTAATATCATACTTGCTTCGTAAATATAACTTCTTACAGAACCGTCTCGCTTTCTACTTCTCTTCACAAATTCTCTCATCTTGCCACCAAATACATTTGAACTACATGCAAAGAATTCATTCTCCTTCGCAAATTCTTTATATCTTCTGTAGCACTCTGTACAATTCCATCCGGATACAAACTTTTCATAGAACTCCTCGTAAAACATTTGGTAAGGTGTTTTGTTCATTTCGATGAGTTCTTGTTTAGCCCTGGTGAATGGTATCTTCCTTACATCAAATTCACTTAAATCTTTCCTCATGAAGTACGTCAGTAAGTTTGAATAAAACTCTTCATTAAAGCTTTCAATGAGATTTGAGAAATATTCGTAATTTCCTTTGTATCTGCTGCTTACGTCAATGACAACAAATCTTCTGTCGTCTTTGTCAATCTTTACTGAGTTGAAGTTGTTAGATATCATGATGATATTACAAACATTCTCTATCTTTCTTACTGGCTGACACTTCTGATTTAAGTCCAACTGAGTCTCTGTTACTATTGACTTTAGTGCGTCGTGGTTCATGACCTTAGACGTATCGCATGAGCTTAGTTCATTGCATACGATGAGCTTCATGTTCTCAATAGCAGCATTGAATCTACCAACCACATTCTCTATTGCCGTTATATTATTGTTGGCGTACTTACTAATGAGCTCGCATAGAACATTACTAAGTACATTCTTACCAGTTCCTTGCTTTCCTATTAACAAAAGTACTGTTCCAGTCTTTCCACAAGGATTTTGAACGATGTAGGCGAACCAGTTCAAAACATACTCATAAAGCTCTTCATCCTCATTACATATGACATCGTGAACATGTTTCAAATATCCTTCAATAACGTTCTCATCTACTTCATTCAGTACCTCATACTCATATCCTCTGAAATAGCTGTAAATGTCATCTCTT